GAGAGCTCGATTTTTCTGTATGTCGACCGCACCGGTCGACCGATGAAGTCTCTGTTTGTTTTTCTTGTTTTTGATCTGGATCGCAGTCGACCGGAAATTTCGTCGGTCGACCGAATGATTTCGTCGGTCGACCGAAAATCTCGTCGGTCGACCGCCGGACTCCCAATGGTAATATTGTACAGAAATCTGCTTCCTGATTTTCTGGGATTTTTGTTAATTTGGTTTTGGGTTTTAGCTGTTGTTTCTTTTCCTATAAAAACTCCCAAACCCCCTTCTATTTTGGTAACCCATTAAAGAGTTTTAAAGAGTTTTTTGAAAAGGGTTTTAGTTGGGTTCAAAGTCTGTTTGGTTTGAAGATTGTTTTACAAGTGGAGAAGATCATCTACAGTGTTTGAACTTCATTTGAATCCTCCTCTCCATCTTATTTTTCATAGAAGAATTTCTAAACTCTTTCTGAGCTTTACCTTTTTGTATTGTTTAATTATGCATTTCTATTAAAAGCTAAGTTTTATATTGGTTAGATTTGATTTTACTGCCAATTGTTTACATCACACCCACTGAGCTTATTGTATTTTGCATACATAGTAATTAGGGGTTGTGAGAGAATTGTAACATTGATTTATGCTTAATTGTGGTTCTTCATCTAATGGTAGAGAACAAATTCATTTGTTAGCATTGTGAGTGTTGTAGGTTTTTCGGTGAGCCTAGAAAACCCCGTCGCGCCCCCCGCCCCCCCGCCGAGTGTGTTTTGTGAAGTTTTCGGTGAACTAGAAAAGCGCCCACCGAGTGTGAGGAGTGAAGCATGTTGGTTCGTGAGCGTTGAAATCGACATAGTGTGGTTGTAAACGTTATTCGCGTGAGCGTAGAAAGCCGTGTTTGTGATAGTGATTTCTGCCGCCGGGAGTGGGGAGTGCGGAGACGTATGGACGGAAGGTCGACTCTGTGATCATATCTTGTGTTTGAGTGTGCTTGTGGCGTTTATTTATACTTGTGTTTATATTTCTTGGTCGGCCATTCGCAATTAGCTGCATTATTCATATGAGCACATCTGAGGATTCATATTGTTCTACCCTTGTGTTAGTTTTATATTCCTTGCATATACATATAATCATATTGATAGGATAATATATCTTGTGTTAGTTTTTAATATATCCTTGCATATATATTCATGCATCATAGGATATATCTTCATTGTCCATATTACTTATGCCTAGCTGTATATAGTTAGTTATATTTCATACTTGGCTAGGATAACTTGTTAATTAAGTTTTAATTGGGCATATAATCGGATTAGATTAGCATAAGAACGCCTAATCAGCGCCCCTCCCCCCCCCCCTCTAGGGTTAACACTTGGTAGGGGGTTTTTTTTCTTGGAATTATTAAAATACAAAAGGGGAGTAAAGCTAAGATGCAAGAAGAAGTAGCCAGAGCCCCATTGCCCTTACCTTCCTTACCTCCTTATATAGCCCCCTTGACTCTGGGAGTTTGACCCTCAACTTTTGTTGACTATGCACAGGAGGCGGTTTGAAAGGTGAACATGCAGGCTGCTGAGTTATCTTTCTTCCTCCAGGTGTTGACAGGCGACTGGGAGGGAAGTCACTCGTATACAAAGAAGAGAAGTCTTCTTAGTGCTCTAGATTTGCCAGAAGAGGCAAGGTGTAGGGTAGGTCGGCTGTGTGGCCGTCCTTCTTTCTCCAGGTGGCGGCTGAAAATTAGAGGAGAAATCATTCATGTACAGAGAAGCATCATGGCAATTTTCTAGGAAATGACTTATGAGTAGAACAGGCGGCTTGTGCAGGAGATCCTTGTCAGAGCGTATATCTTGATGGGATTGGTCAATGCTGTAGCGTCGAGTGACATTTGAAGTGATCTTGGTCGGATCTTATCCCTTTAGTCGAGACGGTGTTGATCCGTGAGTCATTACTATGATTTGTCGACCGACAACCGAGTGAGTTTTGGGATGAGAGCGCCATCGAGACGTCTGCTCGGGGAGTCGTCTTAATTGCGGGGGACCGACTGGTCCCGCGCTTCTACTTGGTTATGACGACTCTTGGTCGAGAGAGGGCTCGCCTGCTTGACTGGTCAATAGACTTGACCTCGACCGGGCTTCTGAGTTTCTTGAGCCGGTCAGGACCATGGCTTTTTGGGTCTTTATAGTCAATCTTTCGGCGTTCTTATCTCTAGATGGTAAATCACCATAACAGTCTAGGCTCTAATCATGTCTGATCTAGCGTGGAGTGGGACACGTGTCGACAACTCAAGAAAGATTAACACTTAGTTAATTACAGACTTTAACAATATTAATATAGAATAGCAATGACTAGATATTTTAGCCAAAAGTTGAGGATGTAGCTCAATGACAAAGCATTCTCTCTATTAGAGAGCGGTACAAGGATCAATAACCCCCATCTCCATTTTATTTGTAAAAAGACATCTTTTCTCGAAAACTAGACTCCTCATCCAAACTACTCTTAGGGTGTGTTTGGTAATTCCTAAATATGATGAAGTTTGGACTAGTTTTTACTTAACTTGACTAGAGTTGGTCCAAAAAAATAGTTTAGATGCTAGAATGCACCCACTAAAACTAGTTTAGTGGAGTTGCCAAACACACCCCAAACTAATGGAGAACGAAGGTGAGGTCCTTGTTATTAAATTTTTTTATTCAAATGCATAACTCATTAAAGTATTTCACCCTTCTGTATCCTATAGTTTGGGTCCCAAATTGACCCTCTTGCTCATTATGAATGGTGTAAAACCTCCTGATCACATGCGGACAGTTTTGATGAAATTTAGAATGTAAAAACTACTTAAATGCCAAAAACTATTATTGTGTTGGAATTTTGTATCCCATATCTCGTATGTCTATTCCGCCCACTATCTCAGCCGACTAACACCGCCTTTTTACACGTCTATGCGAGTTGTCAGCTGAAATAGTAGGCTGAGTGCGAGTGCTTATAGGATCAATTTGGTGGGTAGGCTGACAAGTATCGCTTTTTTGGACGGCTTCGAGAGTTGTCAGCTAAGATAGTGGGCCGAGTGTGGAGGCTTGTGGGATCAATCTGATAGGTAGGTTAGCAAATACCACCTTTCGTGTTGGTCGTGTAAGTTGTCGGCTTATGGAGTCGACCGTAGTAGCTGTTCGAATCGTCTGGGCTCTAATCATGTCTAATCTAGCGTGGAGTGGGACGTGTGTCGACAACTCAAGAAAGATTAACACTTAGTTAATTGCAGACTATAACAGTATTAATATAGAATAGTGATGACTAGATATTTTAGCCAAAAGTTGGGGATGTAGTTCATTGACCGAGCATTCTCTCTATTAGAGAGCGGTACAAGGATCAATAACCCTCATCTCCATTTTATTTGTAAAAAGACATCTTTTCTCAAAAACTAGACTCCTCATCCAAACTACTCTTAGGGTGTGTTTGGTAATTCCTAAATATGATGGATTTTGGACTAGTTTTTACTTAACTTGACTAGAGTTGGTCCAAAAAATAGTTTAGATGCTAGAATGCACCCACTAAAACTAGTTTAGTGGAGTTGCCAAACACACCCCAGACTAATGGGGAAAGAAAGGTGAAGTCCTTGTTATTAAATTTTTTTAATCAAATCCATGACTCATTAAAAGATTTCACCCTTCTGTACCCCATAGTTTTGGTCCCAAATTGACCCTCTTGCTCATCACGAATGGTGTAAAACCTCCTGATCACATGCAGACAGTTTTGATAAAATTTAGAATGTAAAAACTACTTAAATGCAGAAAATTATTACCGTGTTAGAATTTTGTATCCCATATCTCGTAACCCACAGAAGCAAGCTATATTTTTTCCCCTCAAAAACTCGACTCCTCAGCCTAACTACTTGCAAACTAATAGAGAAAGAAGGGTGAGGTCCTTCCTAATAAACTTTTATTGATTCAAACTGTAGAAGTTAAGGTTACAATGATATTATTAATAATTTGCAACCCTAACTTCTTTTTGAGAGACACTAGGGGCACACCCTCTACCACACTCTCAATCACACCACCTCTCTTGCTACAGTGCACATGGCTCACATGATATTTTAAAAATTAAAATCTCATGTGGGCCTCGTGCACTGTAGCAAGAAAGGTGGTATGGTTAAGAGTATGGTAGAGGGGGTGCCCCTATCGTTATTTCTTCTTTTTAGTCAAACATATTAAAGAAAGATGTAAAAAATATATAAAGGACACATTTAATTATCCACTGAAAATTCGGGTGATACGGAGGTGGTGGTTCATCATTAATACATAAGGAATTAATTCCCCTTTTCTACATATTCCCACGTTATCCCGAAAGGATAGCAACAAGTAATGAGAATATCCCTTCAGATATCTGCCACCTCAAACTTAAATCATCCATCCCTTTTCCACCCAAACTCAATCCACCATCCAATTGCATCTTTTATATTGGTGGTTTTTTATGTTAGACCCTCGCATCTTTCATATTATGAGATGACTCCCTCAAATCACTAAAATTGCTATCAGGTTCCTCAAAATCTTATAAAATTAGTCCCTCAATTCACTAAAATTGATATTATGCCCCCCTAATACTTGAGTAGTTTTGAAATTGATCTCTCCAATCAAGTGCAGAAGTAGCAGATGGAGGGATTGATTTGAAACATTTGACGACTAATTAAGATCCTGATAGCAATTTCAATGATTTGGCGAACTAATTTCCCTCTAATTACTGCTTTCACGCTTACTATGAGAGAACAATCTGAGAATTGGGGGGCCTAATAGCAATTTCAGTGATTTGAGGGACTAATCTCAAAATAACCTAAGATTTGAGTTACCTGATAGCAAATTTAATGATTCGAGAGACAGGTACAAAAAAAATGAAAGATGTAAGGGACTAATGTGGAAAACACCCTTACATTGTTCCACGTTAACGCAAACCATCTCCTAAGGAACACCCAACCAAAACACCCACTCTTTAAATCCCCCATCAACCTAAACTTCTCCCCACCTTATCGCAGTGTGACGCCTCCACACCGTAACTCTACCGTATACATATCCTCTTCCTCAAAATTCTCAACCGCTTCGAGAGCTCTGAAGAGGGGTTTTTTTTTTTTTTTTTTTAAATCAACTGTACACGCTTCGAAACCCTAACCCTAATCTCTTCGGATCGAGGTAACTTCCTCTACTCCCTAGCTTAGTACAATGGAAACCCTAGCTTCATCGTCAAGTACCTCATGGTTCCCGACCTTCTTCTCGATCTTTTGCGTCGTATACCTCTTCGGATACTTCGTAGTTTTTCGAAATTGGGGCCCGAAGCACCGCCCTGATGCTTCAAGCTGCTTCATTTCCCTCTTCCATGGATCCCCCGCGGTGTTTCTGGCGATCGCCGCGATCTTAAACGACCAAAGCCGGGGCTTTGCGTTCGCCGCCCCGAATTCCCGGTTCCAAAACCTGGTTCTTGATTTCAGCATCTCTTATTTCTGCGTCGATCTCCTCCACTACCTCGTTCTCATCCCCGGGGACTATCTCTTCATTGCCCACCATCTGGCGACCCTGTTTGTGTTCGTGACGTGTCGGTACCTCGTTCTCCACGGCGCTTTCTCGCTCTTGGTGCTTTTAGTGCTCGCGGAGGTGACGAGTGCTTGCCAAAATGTGTGGACCTTAGCGGGGCTTAAGAAATCGGAGCTCGCATTCGCGGCGAACGTGTATAGGTTCTTGTCGCCGCCGTTCTACGGGTTGTATACTCTAATGAGGGCGGTTCTTGGGCCATGGTTCTTTCTCAAGATGAGTTCTTTCTATTTGAGTGGGAAGGCGGGTGGCTTGATTCCGACCTGGGTTGCGGTTTCTTGGATTGTTGTCGTGGGGGTAGCGATTGCGGTTAGTATATTGTGGATTTGGAGTCGGTGGATGGAGTTGTATAGAGAGAAGAAGGGGAGCTTACAGAAGAAGGGGACGTAGTAGTTGGTGTGTGTTTCGGTAGATATATATATATATACGACGGGGGTATCGGTGAAGTCCATCTGCAAAGGCTTAGCTTGTGATGGAGGTACTTCAATTTTATATGGACAGTTGAAATTTAGGACATGTAATTTAGTTTTTTTAGATATGCTTTGCCTAATAAGTTGCTTTTTTTTGCTTATATTTAGTCATTTATTTTGTCGCGCATGTTGATACTTCTTGGTCTGACGATTCTATCAGATTGACGAATACAATTGTTTGACGTCTTCGAATTGTTTGATCAGCTTTCACGCGCGCCAAACCTATTATTCTGTCGTTAGATGTGATATTGTCCTATTCCCTGGTAATACTTAATGTTTATTCCTTAACTTTTTCCGTGGAAAATGTATCATTGTTTTGTGCCTGATATAATATTTTATCACTATCGAGTGATGAAAACTAATATTATGGTTGTGTACAGGTGCTCTTTGTAATGGGCACCTAATTATCTATGGAGCAGGGACGCTCTAATGAGTCACAGATGCAACGGTATAAGGACATGGAAACATGATGGATGCTAAAGAGTAGGATATGGAGATTGTCTATATGATTAAATATGTATGTTAATGTAGGCATGTCTGTATGTAGTAAGCTATTATCCTTACTGATGGACATATTTAAAAGTAAAAAAAAGAAAGACCTTATTTCATTATTTAAACTCATAATTCTAAAAGACTTAAACAAAAATTTGAAAGTCTAATCCAGTACTTGATTTTGTGATACCCCATACTAAAGTAGTACCCCACTTATGTCATGAATTTTTCATATATGTTTAAGTCGATACATTGCTTCAAGGCACTCAACATGCAATCATTAGTTTTTGTTTTCATAAAACCATAGCTGCAACAGAAGTGATTGATTTTTATTCTTGATAGCTTCACTTTGTTTGCATAACTGTGTTTGGAACTGTTGATGTTTGATACTTAACAGTTACAGGGCCTGGACTTGGACTCATTTTGAAGTCTGTACTTCCTATGTCCAAGGTGAGAAGATTATCCTGCTTTAAATGAGATGTAAAGGAGAGATCTTTCAATACTATGTACGGCATTGAGTAGGAAAAGTTTCAATATATCCTTTTCTTCAAAAAAAAAAAAAGTTGCAATGTACCCCTAAACTTTTCATATTCTTATTTGCTTTATACGGAATAGAGCGTTAATATAACAACATAGGTGTTTGGCTGAAAAAAATGTTTGAGAGATCCTAAGTCTCAGCCTAGTGGAGTCGTATTTAAAGTTATGTTTCGCAAGGAAATTTAACAAAACCTGTCCATCTTCCTGATATTTATATCCATAATTTTAGATATGATTTGTCAAATGATGGCATTTCCATCTTTGAAATCCTTTCTTCAAAGACATGCGTTATTTTTTATCCATCTTAGATGTAGCTGCACTGTAGTTAGCTTAAGGATACATTCATTCTCTTACCTGTTTTTATGATAAGCACCAATTTATATGTTTCTTATCTGTGCTCACTAGATGAGCTTACTAGATTCTTGTATAAGCTGCTCTTGTTGTAGTGTAGCTTACGACAGGTAATGACAGTGGTGTAGTTTTCTAGGTATGTCTTACCTAATAAATCATCTTATTGTTTTTATTCAGTCATTTATGTTGTCTCACTTTCTGATACTTCTTGGTCTGGCAACTTTTTCTGATAAAGGAACAACTATTTGACATCTTTGAATTGTTTGATTAACTTTCATGAGCCTAAACCACTAATCCATGTCATGTTTTCTGTTCCGTGTTAAGATATTTTTGTTCATAGTTGAGCGATAGTAAAGCAATCTTGTGCGTTGTTACTATATTATCAGAGATGCTCTCTTTGGTGAACCTTTTATTTTGGCAGTTGTATCTTTGTTTGGTTCTGTATAGGATACATATTCACTAGTATTGAGAGAGAGAAACCAATCTTTCGGTTATATAGGTAATTCTTTAACAAGCACCTGTATTGATCGATGAAGCGTGGACTTTATAATGGGACATGGATACAAGTTGATATGCACATGGCAACATGAAGAAATATTGCTACATGATTAAACGTGTGTGCTGGCATGGGCATGTCTGTAGTAAACTATTAAATCCCTACTATGTGAATGTTCTGTGAGAGTAAAAATTAAAAATAATAATAATAAAAGCTTGATGATTTATGTCATTGACTTCTGATAAGTGGCAAAATGAAACAAAAGAAACCTGAAAAACTAAATACCTTGTTTTATTATGTCTTCTTCCAAAATGTAGTCAACTTATCTTAAAGAGTCTTTTATGCAAGTATGGTAAAGCGATATATGGCTTCAAGATGTTTGTCACATAACCTAAGATTTTTTTTCTTTACCTAAAGCGAATGCTGCTACACAATTATTTGGCTTTTAATCAAAATAGCTCCAATGTATCAGATGTGTTCGGCAAGTATAGATGTTCAATTCTATCAGTTAGCAAGGACTTGGGATTCACTTGAAGTTTCCATGCCTCCTATGCCCAAGGTGAGAGTATTATCCCTGAAGTGAGAAGAGGTTGAAGGATGTGCTTTCTCTTACAAACAAAGTAGGGGGATAAAGACATTTTTATATATTTTTTTCATACCCTTATTTGCTTTTCATCGAAATCAAGAATTAGCATTCTGACATGGTTAATCGGTGTTCAGCCTGACAAAACCATATGTTTTGAGGGATCTAAAGTTTCAGCTTCGGAGAGTTTTATTTCGACCCCCCTCTCCCTTTTTTTCTTGGAAAGATATTTGGCAAAACGTAATCAACCTGTTTTCTGCATGCATCATAGTTGGATCAATGCTGCAATTAGCTTGGAGATGCATTTGTTCTTCTAACCTGTTAATTGTATCTGTGCGCTTCATGTGAGCTTTCTAGGTTCTAGGCAAGACCCTCTTCTGTCTCTTGTGTCAATTGTGAGCTTGGCTAGGATCTCAACATCGACTTAGAAAACTGAGCTTGGGTTGATTAGGTCTTCGAGATCGGTCAATTTAGATGTTCGAGATCGGTCAATTGTTATCTGGAGTCTTATTAACTCAGTTAACTCCGAAGGTTGCTTTTATTGGTAGGAAAAAGTCTTGAAAAATAATCCTTAATGACTTCTGTTGCAACTTTCTTTTTCCCCTGAGCTTTCTTCATACTGACACAAAGGCCAATTGCTGATGCTTGATGCTTGGAAACAGCCCTCTGTGGTTAGTTGAAAGAAGCAAAATGCACAAAGTTTGGATGCTTTAGTTTTTCGTCCGGGTAATAAAGTTATGTTTTAGCTTTGCGAAAGTGATGGAAATGGAAGGGGGTTAAGAAGTGAAAACAGTTACCTGCCTAGTTTGCTTGCTTAAAAAGCTTTTAAAAGACCAAAGGGTGGGAGAATTTTTTAGTTAAAATAGTTTTCTGGGTTCTAGTGCATTGCCACCTGAACGTAGATAATTAAAGATCGGTAGATGTGTTGCTTTCTCTCTTCTTTATTAATTTTGTACATGAAGCAACTAAATGTCATGAGTAACTATGAGCTCAGTCGTATATCATCTCAGCACTCTATGCGTTTCCTTTCACTATGAGTCCTGAAGTTAGTAGAGGGATCTTTTCGGCCTAAGTTTTTGGTTTATAAAAGACGTAGGTGTTTTGTGCGTAAGCAACTTAAAAACCTTGAAGAGGTAGGTGTTATATGCTGCATGGGTATGAACATTTTATATTGCAGAAGCTCTTTGTATTGGTGATTTTGAATTCGAATTGATATCTTCTCCCCGGCTAAACTATATATTGTTGTGTCGATGGTAAGGTTAAAGAAAGCGCTAGGCAGCCTAGGTGCTGGATCCGACCCCTAGGGCTTAGGTGTCGCCTATTTTTTTATTTTTTATTAATTATAATTACCGATAGTAGATGCTAGTGTTATAGAAACTTTAAACGTTGGACTAACGCCAAGGCGTATTTCTTAAGTGGTGGCGGAGGATGATCTATTGAAGGTCAGGAGAGGCGGAGGTGTTTATGGTTGGTGTTTGGAGGAAGTGTTTGGAGGAGGTTGGAGGACATGGATGCTATAATGGAGTAAATCATGATCGAATGCCTAAATGGTACAGGTCATGTAGCCAGACCATACTCCCTTAGGTGCTCCCAAAATCTAGACGGGCAGCTTAGGTACCGCCTAGGCGCTAAGTAGGCAGTCAAGGTACCGTTTAGGCCTAGGCGTAAGTCTAGGCGGGCAAGCCGAGGCTTTTTAAAACATTGGTCGATGGTTATTGCCAGTGTTATCGAGGCGCAAAGCGCAATGCGGGGCGCAAAGCGCACTTACGCGCACCATGCGCAAAGCGCACAACGAGGCGCGCACCTCACTAATTGAGGCGCATAACTCAAACTAATATTTACCAACGTTATAAGACAGAAACATATAAGCAACATATTAGTTACCTACATCCAAAATTATGAGAATATCAACTTAAATCATCAAATTATGCTAACTGAATTTTTAAAGTAATAAAAAAGATACAAGAAACATATATTTAAATCATCAAATTAAGTGATTTAACAATTATGAGCATATGTTTATAAATTGTCACATAAAAGACTAAGAAATATAATTAACAAACATGACTGTTCATAATTTTCTAGTTAGTATTCTTAATTGATATTTGCTACTTAGCATGAAAAGATGAAGAATGAATGTAACAATTACATATTTACATGTTCATAATTTGCTAGTTAGCATGCTAATTAGAGAATGAAGTTACAATTAGCAAACAAGTATACTAAATTACTAATTATTGTTTCCTTTCTATAGGTTAAACATGAACAGATGAAAATAGATTAGCAACTAGTAAGAAAGAGTATATTACATGATATAAATATGTAATTATGTAAATTATTTTAAAAAAATAAAATAAAGAGTATGTTACATAACGCAGGTGCGAGGCGCACGTGAGGCGCGCGCGCTGCGTGCAGCGCCTCGCCTCGCGTGCGGGGCACATTTCCCCAGGCCGAAGCACCCCTCCTCACGTGCGGGGCGCATTTCCCCCAAGCCGAAGCGCCCCGCGCCCGGGGCACGCCCGAGGCACGCGCCTCAATAAGCCTGGTTATTGCATAAGCTCAGATTTACTCTTGGCTTGGCCAGTTCTCTTTTGCAGTAGCAAGCTAGTTATTATCTTTTGTTTAGCCAGCAGGCTTGAGAGACTTCACTTATAGTAGCATCAGCGCCGTACCTAGGAATTTTGGGGCCCAAGGCGAAATATTGGATGAGGCCTAAGTGATACAACTCATAATACATTTTATCTCATTCTTCTTACATTTTGAGCGGCAAAATTACATATTATTTTCAATATCTTGTAACATGGTCGATCTTAAATAAGATTTTAGTAATTTTAATTTTGAAAAACTTCTTTCAGCGGAAGCAACTGTTACGAGTATAGTCAATAGTACACGATAAGCAATACAAGTATTTAGAAAAGAATCTAACCACTTTATATAGTTTAACACTTCAATTGGACAATTAATCTCTATTTTTAAAATTTCCCTAAGCACTCTCAATTCTGAAAACAAATCAAGTCCATTAATATCTAAATGTTCATCATGTTTTAGTGCATTTTCGAGATTAAGATAATATGCTTTCAATTCAATATAATCTAAAGCTTTTAATTTTTTCAAATCAAACAAAAAACCAAAATTTTTTTCATACGTTTTAAATTGTTCAAACCTACTTTCAATTGAGCCAAGCGATTTATCAACTATGTATAAGAAATATTCAATACGAAAAGATTCTTCAGCGTTAAATGTTGTTTCATTACCAATATTTTCATCAAATTGGTTTTTTTCTATGAATTTTACGTTTTTCACGAAATATAGGTTGTACGTCATTTCATTAGCAAGTTCTTTAGTTGAATTCAAAGCAGATATAAAAGCATTTTGTCTATAATTTTCTAAATAT